GAGAGAGAGAGAGAGAGAGAGAGAGAGAGAGAGAGAGAGAGAGAGAGCTTTGATTAATCACCTGGCTGTGTGTAAGACCACTATGCTAAGCACTGAGGATACATGTAAAAGCAAACCAGACAGTCCCTGCCCTCAAGAAATGTCGATTCTAACCAGAAAAGGCAGCATACAGAGGGGTGGGGGTGTGGAATCACTGGAGGAGGTGGCGTGGTGGTCTGCTCTTGGCAGGGATCACACAAGGGATTACCCACCAGAGCCGGGGGACCTGGCAGTGGAGGCCTGCTAGGCCCTTTAAAAATGCTTGTTGAATTGAAATGATTACTTAACTAAGCTGGGTTGAGTAATAGCAGATTTGTCTCTAGGAGATGTCATAAAAATATGTCCTCTATTGATATGGCCTTTTGTAACAACAAAATATTTTGTAGATATCATCTCCTGATCCTCAACAACACATTGAGACAAGGAAGCTCGAGAATCCTCGTTCCCATTTTCAGAGAGTTTAAGTGACTTGCCAAAATTTACACATTAAGTAGGTGACAGAGCAGGACTCCTATATAGGCCTTCTTCTCCCTGCGCTGCCAGATTGCTCCTCACAGGGCAGAGTCCAGGTGGCCTGGACCTGTGCTTCCCGGGGTAAAGTTTCGTGTTGCTCAGTGAAAAACACCGAAAATCACTAGTGTGTGGGGGGAATGAAATAATTGGGAGGAAGGTCTAAACAGGGCCCACCCACCAGTGGATCAAATTGTTTGGTCAACATGAAGTCCAAAAAAAGTTGGCTATAAATTGGTCTTAGATTGAGCCTAGATCATACCTTCATAATTAAGACTTATATGGGTAAGTTATGTACTGCAGTCTTATAAATAGCTGTTCGCCCTTAGGAAACAAGTAAAGAATGCCAATTCTGTTTATTTTACAACTTACTCTCTCCCTGGAGGTATGAAGCCTCATTTAAAAATAATTTAGGTCCCTGTAAAGTTTCAGTGTTTGTTTTCTAAGCTGCTTTGCTTTAAACATTCAGCATGTACATGAATTCTTTAAGTATATCGTGAGACAATTGGTTTGAAAAATGAAGTGAAATTACTTGAAACTAGTAGGCCATCCATTACTCTCTGTTAATCAGTACTTTTAAGTTTATCTTTTTATTTTTTAAAGGGCAGCTTTCCCTTTCTCCCTTCTTCTAACAAACCATTTCCCCCCCATAATTGTAAAGGGAAGTTATGTGTTGGCATAAGGCATGTTGGGTTAAATCTTTTTTAGTGTTAAGTTTGCATGTGACTGTAACCTAATTATACAGGGAAATGTAGAAGGTCAAAAAGGGCAGTGTTTATATGGCTTTTTGTAGAGGAAAGGGTTTCCTGAGAAATATGGCTCATCAGAGTTGGATTTTAAGAAGGATTTATTGTCAAATCTTAATTGGTTAGACTTCTTTATAGGATAACATCATGTCTGTCTCTTCTTTGTTACAGTGGTTAAGAAATAGTTTTCCTGAATTTCCTCCTTGATCACCTAATTTGATGTTATTTCCTGGCTGGTCTCAGACTAAACTACAATTGACTGCAATTTTTCTGTCCTAAGTATACCCATATGTCATTTTAAAAAGAAAGTGAAATACAGTGCTTGGTATCTCTGTAGATCTCAGGGAAGACGCATAAAGCCAGCCACTAAAGTGGTTTACCTAAACTGTAGCTCTGACCTTGTCACTCTCCCCTTCAATAAACTCCAGTGACTCCCTTCTGCCTCCAGGATAAAACAGAAAGCCCTCCCCAGCCTGGGTGGCCTCGTCCTGCCTGTGCATTTTCTCTCTTCCTATGCTCTAGGCTTCCGCCAGGCCCCACCAGGCTTCTTACTGTTCTCACACACACACAACACATCATCTCCGGTGCCTTGGCCCCAGCCGTCCCCCAGTCTGGAATGCAAGGACTCCTTATCTCTGTCTCTTGCAATCCCTAACTAAGCTCAGCAGCCTTTCTCCATCCCTTCCTCCCCCAATGCAATTTTAGAAATGTACTTACATAGGGATATGT